TTTTGTGTTTACTGATCGATTTTATAGTCTGATTTGTTATATCACTCGTTCCTGTACTGGTTGATTAATTCATGAACTTTGTCATTCATCTCTCTTTTCATTTATATGTATGTCTAGAGGTAAAAGATAAACTTGGTGTTGATTTCTCTACTGAAACTTATCAAATGACTTATACTGGACATTGTTAGCTTACTGTAAACAATTTTACACTTAGTGTGTATGCAGAATATATAGAGTACACGAAATGGATTCAGTTCATCACAACATGTTTGGTGTTTTTGCTTTGAAAATATGCACAGTTCAGTGACTAGTGTATACAATCACTCCTTCATAAAAGCTTACTTAGCATTATGAAAGCTATCCAATTACTTTTCAGAATGGATTGAACCGTTTACTGTAGTCTGTAACGTATATAGCGTTTTTCTTCCTTTGTAGGCTTTCCTACATGCAAATTTGCATGTACACACAACGCTCATTACTAGGTGCATACTCTAAGTTTCATCTATAATTAATCTGATTTAAAGTTTATTTAAAAGCGTTCTTTATACGGACCAACAACCATTTGATGAAACTTTTTGAAAATGGTAACAATTTTTACCTACATGTTAGATTAAATAGACTAAATTCTTAAACATAAAACATTACTTGTTATTTAATCCGATTTTTCTCTCATCTCTTCAAAAAAAATGTTGGAAAATTACATTTCCATTCGAAATGTTGAAATTAAGCGGAATAGACGGAGCAGACATGAAAAGATAGGTGAGAAGTCTACTGGGATACATTTTTACCGGGATACATTATTGTTGATTGATAGAATGAAGAACATTTTGTTCCTTTTTCATTGTAAATTTGTTTTAGACTTGTGTGAGATATTTTTGTTAAAATGACATGGAAAGCTTCCATAAATTTATCAAAAATCATCAGTCCATTAGTCTGTAATAAAAATAACATGCTGATTTATGGCAGAATGAAACTAAATAATGATCCATAATGATGTGATATGATGTGATCCATTGACACTTTTAAAAGTGAACTGTATCCTTAAAGTTACAACAGGGAACTCTCATTTGGCTAGTTTCTAAATTTGGATGCATCTTGGGTTTTGCATATGAAATAAACATTAAATAAATGCAGCGCAACTTCATCTTTTATGGGATTACTTAAAGTCAGTGAAAAGAAATACCAGTGGTATAACAGATGTATAAGGCTGCTTATATAGTCACGTTATGTGAACTTTGAAAAGTAAAAGAAAAAGAGGGTAGAGAAAGATATATCGCACCCATGTTACAGTATGATTTATTAAAAGATAACACCGGCAGTGTATCCTTGTTAGAAAAGAAAATTTGTATGTAGCTTATGAAAACTAATAACTTCTTTTTTCCACAAAATGAAATAAATGAACTAACTCTAATTAGCGCTTAACATTTCAAAGCTTGTCTGTTTGTTATTCAGCAACTAGTCTATGTTCAAAGTCCAGTCTTACAGCTTGTAACTTGTAGCCTGAGCAGCTTATTCAAAGGTAATTTAACTTTCTCACTAAGTGAAATGAATTTCAGATTTAGACGGAACGCGAATCCCTCCAATGTTGTAGGTCACCCTGTGTGCAATGTTTGAAAAAAGAAAGTGTTTTCTACAACAGATTTCGTCAGAGTTCTGATTTAAGCATCATTGAATGATTTTCTTACAGCCACTGTTGATGATTTATTTCCTTCCTTACTGAGACCTCATAAAACTGAAACACCCATAACAAAAGGGAATCAGGCGCAGTTATTCATGTGATGGTAATTGAGTTCAGTGGCAAACCCTAATTACTGACTGAATGCAGGTCGTATCATTCAGTTATTTTGTTCGAATTGACACTGTTCTGAATTTAATGTCAGATATTTGATAGTAATCGTTTATGGGCATATATACTGTGTAGGCTGTGAGCTGTGAAATAAGATTTGGATTACACTGAGTTGTTCAGTATTATTTCAGTCACTATACAATTAGACTGAAACATTACTTATCGTTTCTTCGAACACTATGACTGCAACCTTATCAAGTAATTATTTCTATGTGTATTTAAAAACCGTGAACTACATGAATCGGAATTTATAGCTGATTAGTATTTTCAGCTAACTATATTTTGCATATTTGTTTGTTAACTATTCTTCTTGGGTTATGTTTTATCAGTTCACGACATTTTCAGATATTCTATGGTATTAACGAGGAGGTTTTCAGTTAACTTCGAGATTTGTTAGCTGTGACAAATAACAATATGGACAGTCCAATCAAGTCAGCAGTTTGTAAATACGAAACTTTTGAAAAATACAATAACGTTATAGCACTGCAGTTAATAATCTGAGTTGCTTACTACAGGTCGTTCACCCACTGCCAAGTAAAACACTTTAAATTCTATGAACCAGATTATATTTTGAAATAACCTAATCTTCGAAAATGTTCACTTAGAAGTGCTCATTAGAGACAGTATTTTAGTCATTTACTAATCTAACCAAAATTTATCTGTTTCATAACTCAGGTGTTACTTTGAATAAAGCGGTATAAACAAAATTTGCAGCCTGAGTTGTATTACGATACCTCCTCTTCACGTGCTTACAGGCTGTTAACAGTCATCTGACTGAACAAATTAAGATTTACATACCATAGAATTGAAAATCTATAATCCATTAGATGGTAGTAAAGAATATCGAGGGTGATTATTTTAGAGTAATATGGATGATCAGTACAAAAAGTTAGAAATGAGATAAGCATCTGGATAGCATTCTTAACAGCGTGATAAATTTGAGTGGGAAACCAGGCTGTTTTATTGTTGATTTCAAAAACACTTTTCACATCATTTTCATCCTATGCCTAAAGCAAATGCTAAGCAGTTAGCTGATTGATGTCATCCCGTCCCTTAAACTGTTTATTTCTTAGGATGAGTTCAGAAAGATGAGTACCTCTTGTTGTCTCTCTGTCCTTCTAATATGCATACTTTCCAAGTGTAAATGAACTGTAAATGCAATTTGACTTGTACTGTTTGATCACTTCAAAGCAACCAATTTCATGTTGTTTTGTGGCATATACTGACCAAATTCCATCGATCATTTTTCAGTGTGATCACCAAGCTAGGAGGCTCATCATCGCGTTTAATCCAGTGGTAACATCACTGACTAAAATTCTGAATGATGAGTGTTCAAATCGCGCAAGGGTGGACCAGGTACCTCGAAGTTACAGATACAACTTGCTGACAAGGGCCGACAAGCCCGAAACCTAGGTCTAGGGCTTCCTTCTGATTGTTTCCAGTCAAATAGCAGTTTTGCAACTGGCAGTTAGCTGATTGTTAAACTGTCAAGTTAAGGTTAATTATTTTATATATCCGACTTTTAATAAAAATTATAATAACAGTAATGGCATTATCATGTAGGTTATTATGTCTACGAGGCCAAGTACATAAGTCAAACCAGACAATCATTATCACTGGGATTACCTGAACATAGAAATTAAGATGAATATATAGAATGACAGACCCGAATAAGATCAATAATCTGGAAAACACTCGGCTATTGTAATGTATGCATTAACACACTACCGTAAAAATAGCGTAGTACAAAACCACTATACCTAACTCCAATATAATTAGGTGAGGAGAGAGACTGATTGCCGAATATTTGTTCATCGAACCAACACCCATACCAGAGATATGGAAAATTATACTGCCAATAAAAACAAAGGATGAGGGATGACTGAACTATGAAAATCAGATGTCGAAAGTGATAGGATTACATTGATTTGATTATGAGCAATAATATATACTCAAGACGTAATCAGATGGATATTGCCTCCCACTGTGTTATAAATCAAATAAGTCTAATGGGGAATTACATTTCTACCACAGTGCCCAAGTTTCACACGTAAATTGAATAGGTAACTATGGTTAGCATTAATAATGCCAATTCTCTATGCATGAATAAGGGCAGGCTATATAATCTGTGCTGCATTTGCTACTAAAAATTTCAATTATTAGTTAGCTTTTCAAACGATTTCTTTTTCACGAAGGATATACGCTAAACAAGGCACCGTGGGTTATAAAGTCCCATATACCCGCTCCTTATCTTACCTGTGCAACTGACATGCAGAAAGCCTTGAATAAAGAGAATGCTGGTCACCTGATTAAAAAATCCTCCCAGCAATTTAAATGAGTGAAGATGTCTGTTCACAACATTATCAAGAATTAGAGACACCATTCAAGTTCTTCATAAAATCTTTAAAGCCCTAGATGGTATGGCTTAGTCTTCTTTTTAAGTAACCTAGGAAGGAATAAGGGAGAAAATACAGAAGAATAGGTAAGGTGCAGGAGTTTATAAAACCCAAGAGAAGAGGCTGAGTTGTACCAGAATCTCTCAATATCCCAAAACGGTAAGTTAGATGGATTATTGTCTAGAAAATTAGTAAGGTATAAGAGGACAACGAAAGATCAGAAGAGAAACACGAACCATTGTAGATCACATTTATTACACTTTATTATACAGAGCTGCAAATAAAACAGAAGTTATTAGACTGAAACAGTTTGCTCACCTTTGTTCACCTTTGGAATTGAAGTTGAAAGTTTGATACTGTGAAGAGTTAAGCATAGGACAATTCATGAAAGCTCATCATTCAATAGTAGATAAGAAACCATTCATTTGATACTATTCTGACTTATAGGTAACATTCCGTCAGCGTGCAAAACAAAACTGCCTCTAAATGAACTAGGCAATTCACACAGAACAAAACAGAAGAGAAACTGGGAAACAGAAACACCTTGAGGGACACCTAACTAATTGGGTATGCAAATGGATTACGAAAGCCGAAAGTCTTCAATAGCGGTTCAGGTATAAGTAACTCAAGTTTTTCATAGTTTTTAAGATTAAAGAAGTCACTGCTATCAGTCGAAAATTTAAGTATACTCAAAAAGATGCGGACTTAAGCACTTGAACTATTTTGATATCCTTTCAGGTAGTTCGATCAGCATCACTTAAAAACCCTCATCAAGAATGCAAGTGGGCAGATAGTATCACATACTTGGTTACTAAGCCGATCACTACCAGTAAAATCCTTAAAATGTTCCCGCATGTTGTTATATAACAACATTTAACTATATAGTAGGCTCATGTGTTTAATTTCTGACTTTATGTAACAGTTTAGTCAAAGAACACTAGTATCTTCATGGACTTTATGTGATATTTCGTTTTCTTTCATTATAGTCTCAAGTCCAAAAGAAAAAGGATGATCAAAATGTAGACATAGTTTTCCCAGTTGGAAATAAATATCAAAACAAAACTTGAAATGGCATGTAACTGCATTCTTAGTGTCTCCAAAAACTTTATTGTCAAACGTATTCCAGTCTGTAACTTGTAGTACATCACTTAGTTGAAATATATTATTATGCTAATAGTTTCTAACGATCAGTTACAAGTTTGACCGTCGACACATCAATGAAGGTTTAGGTAGCCAGTTAGTATAAACAGCGTTTGTATAACAAGTGTAGTTGATCACCTGGTCCCAAGGTTTGTACACAATGAATGTGTTGCAGGTTGTTTCGTTTTGGCTTCCTTAGTTTTGTAATTCCTCTCTTTCGTGACATGAAGTTAAAGTAAGTCTTTAATAAGACTGTGTTAAGTTTTACAAATAAATTTTTAGCATTTCTCAATTATCTATTATTTCCTGAATCTAACTTTGTTTATCCTTTTGCTCTGAATAACTAAATATGGCGGATTTTATAAAGATATTTCAATATTTACCTCACAGTTATTGTTTACGCAGGATACGGAGAAGGTTACAAATTATCACAGCTTCATTTTTGTTTTTTATCTCATTTTTCTAAATAAAAAGTAACAACAAAAACAGCAAGAGTGATATTACTAATAAGAAGAACACTTGCAGCAGGAAATGCCGGTCAGTGTTCTTCTCTTTAAAGTTGACTGAAAATGAAGCTAGACTATAGATCAATAAGGGATAGTTTACTTACATTCAACAAAATATTCTCGTCTTCATTTGAATCCTTTTCTAAATATTCCCCAGAGATTCGTTTTGTTCTCTGACTATCGTTCCTAAATTGATAAAGATTAGTTAGATTAACCTATGGATCGAATAATAATACTGCTGTGTACATTCATCGTCAGCACGTACAATACTCATCTTGTTGGTTGAAAAGAGAGGAAAATTTCTACTATCAACTATTTTTATAACATTATATGACTGAAAGTCATCGCATCAACCATTAGGCGATCTTGGAGGATGGGATATGGTGTTTATGAACTGTTGGGGGATTAAATGTTTAGCATCAGCTAATTCTCATCCCTTCTGCCGTCTTCATAATGACAGTATCCTTTTTTGTTTAACCGCATTACGAGTTAAAGAAAAGATTTGTTGACCACCTTACAATACTGCTTGCTAATGACATTATACTTTACTAGGACAGTGAATACTATTTTCAGTTCCGGATGAAGATGATAATTATTTGTTCTGGTAGTTTTTCGGCTTGTTCTTGGAACTTTTATCAGTACTTAATTTATTGGATTATGTACATGTACGTGTCATCATTGATGAATAGGAAGGAATGTCGCACGTAGGGGCCAATTCACATTTTCAATCACTTCCAAATGAACGTCCTGATTAATTCATCACATTATGCAGTTGCACGCAGTTATAGGTTGACAAACAAGAGAAAATTTGTTGCATTTGTTTCAGTGTATTGAAATAAGAAATTTATCCTCCCACCATGCTCACAGGCAAAAACTGACAAGATGACAGAAGAGGCAGCGAAGACGGGACTTCATGTGAATGTAGAGAAGACAGAGGTGATGAAGATACCCAACCAACAACAAAAAGCACCAATCACCATCAATGGGAGAAACTTAAATGGAGTAGCCTCTTTCACCTATCTAGGCAGCATCGTTTCAACTATAGGCGGCACAGGCACTGACGAGGATGTCAAAGCCAGCATCGGAAAAGCAAAACAGGCGTTCATTAGCCTGAAACGAGTGTGGAGATCTTCTGCACTCAGCTTGTGGAACAAGATCTGGATTTTGAACAAAAAGTTGGTCAACTCAGTGCTTGTATATGGTTGAGAGACTTGGTGCGTTACGAAAGGCACTTCCAACAAATTACAGACATTCATCAACAACTGCCTACACTGGCTCGTTACTGAAGCTCAGATGGCCAGAATAGTGAGAATAAGCAACAAGGAACTCTAGTTGGCTGGCTGTTGACGAACCAACCAAGAAGCTATCGCTCAACAAATATGCCGAAAGAGGTGGAGATGGATTGTGCATGCACCGAGAAGACCGATTGGAGACATCATGCATTAGGCACTCGAGTGGAACTTAGATGGGAAACGACGAGTTTGGCGTCTGAGCGAGGGTGACATGGAAGAGATCGTGCGAGGAGGAAATGAGAGCTTGTGGGCTATCATGGAGCCAAGTTCAAAAAATTTCAGAGAACAGAGTGGAATGGAGATGTGCTACTGAAGCCCTATGTTCAACTAGGAACCCAAGAGACAAATAATAAATAATGATAAGTTTTTGTTGACTGTTAAATAAAGACTTCGTTTCCACTGGTTTTAATAATCATTAATGACAAATGCTTTTTTCATGGTTTAACAAGTGAAAGAAGTGAAGCTGCAGAGAATCCCTTAAAAACAGGATATTGATGAAAGTAATTTTCCGAGTCAAACAAGCACATCATGAAACGATACAACCATAGGATATTCGACAATGCATTATTGTCTTGTTTTGCCAGTCAAAATAGCATTAACGTCATACATTTCCTGGGATCCTAATATTATTTGTAGCTTTAGTAGTAAGTGGTGTAAGTTTACCAATTTTGTCCACGTTTCCATCTCTATCCACCTTGAACAATTCTTTTAATTTTCTGGTATACTTATCAACTATCGTGTTTGAGGATATAACCCCTTCAAAATATTTTATTTAGTTTTAATAAAATAACTGCAACATTTTGATATGTTCTTGTTTTCAAAACAAGCTTCGTTTTTCAAATCAGCTAGGACAAGTAATGAATTCTATGTTTGATAATAAGACCGTTTTTTAGAGCACTGGTAAGGGATAGAAAGTTAGGCAATAAAATAAATCCGCATTATTTATTTTCACTTGTTGATTTTACCTTTTAGGAATTGTCCTGGTTCGAACTCGACTGACACAGAGGTCAACCATCAATTATGCGTACTTGTTATATACCCAAGTATGCGAGACCAAGGAAGAACATAATACCCTAGTCGAATGGAATAGTGTACTTCTGAAATAGTGCCAAGATACCGATGCATTCCAAATAACTGACTAGAGGATCGATTGCCAATAGTGCAACATAACACGACAGTGTACCAAATGGCGTAGGTGCTTGACCGTTTGTCTTCAGCTTAGCAAGTCTGATAAAATTATGAAGGTCAGCATCAATGTTGAATCTCGTCGAACCCTAGGCTATTGATTCTGGAGAAGTGTGTGACGCTAAAACCTCATTCAAGCATATGAAAGATCATAGGTTGTACTGTATTGTTTCTCATGCATTTGGTAAGGTGAGGCTTAAGTTGAGTACGACGCATTATCATCATCGTCGTCATCAGCAAGGAGCTCTAGATATTCCTGTCTTCGGTATCTCAAGTTCATCGGTATATTTGGTGAAATTTCACATCAAATGCTGCAGTCTTGATAAAATTATTAACAATCATTAGCTTCTGAAGATTATGTAGAGTAAAAAACATTAAAAATGCATCTCCGAATGATTAAAATGGAAAAGACATTCCAAAGTACTGCAAAACGATTGCCTTCATTGGTTTGTGTTCACTAATACAACAATGAACATGATCTACATAGATGATTTACTTAAAAACTGAAAAATTGGTAAGAAGTTGAATGGTTTAAAAATAGTCTACAGTATAAGTATATACAAGCCAAAAATCAGTGTAGAACCAAACGGCTGTTAGCAGTTGTTTTGTTGCCATATGGTGCTCTACAGCAATTTACCCTCATATTTTCTGAACGGGATTTTGGGCTAATGGGATCCTCATGTCTCTCTGTGAGTAATTCGGTAGTCATCTGCAGAATCAGAATGCTTAGATACAGATTTTGCATTCTCTTTAGCAATAAAGTCATCTGCTATTACATAAATGGTGTTGTCGGAATACTGAAAGGTGCTAAACTACGACGTAACAATAGCTCATTGTTTCTTAGCTTCCTCTAGTTATATAGTTGACATCTGTATATACTTAAGATCATGCTTGAGTCTAGTTACTGGCAACATTCTCAGTCATATGAAGCAGAAAGACAATTTGCTCATAAATCACCACATTAACTCAGGCCACGTAGGTTAAAAGAAAGAGCTAAACATATCATTTCTTGTGTAATGAGTCCAAAGAGCTTTAGTCGCTTTAACTGACAAAGAGGTTGCAGATAGATCAGGCTCTCAGGTAGATCAATTTTACGAGACTGTCATGAAAATCTTCAAATCTGACGCAGAATACTTATGAATCTATCCCATCAAACACCATTTCAAGAATATGAATACTACTGAAAATAACTTTAGAGAAAAGATCATATTCTAGAAGTACGTGAAACAAGTCTATTCGGACAAGCTTTTTAAGTTGAACGACTGTATCTAAGTTATATATTGAAAGATGAAAAATAGCATATATATTTGCTTATTCACGCTTGCGTAGATCCACCATACTTAACAAAATGGGTTGAAATCAAGCATCACCTACTGCCAATCATTTCAGGATGACTGATTATAGGATTAATCTTACTGAGCTTTGTTCAATAGCATCACATCAATAATTTCAGTGAAATATGACTAACAGATGACCAAGGCATATAAGATCAATCATATTCGTGTCCAAAATACTCGTTTAGAAAATAATAGAATTTACTCATTTTGTTATGCTTGGCTAGGCATGGCTGTCAGTTCATAAATTTTTGCTTTCTGTCTAACAATCAAAAGAATAGTACAATAACATGTGATGGAAATTATAATGCTAGTTTTACGTAAGAAGCTACTTTCCTCCTTATAATTGATTATTTTTTCTAGAATGGGCTCTATTTATCAGTCTACACTTGACTGATGAATGTAAAATATTGATAAGTCAGAAAGAGCACAGCGTTATTATAAAGATGACACAGTTGTGAAATGAAACGTTTGAATCGAACAAATGCCTGGGAGAGTCACTTCCTTTAACAATTCTAATAATAGTTGGGAACAATATGAATATATTACCTGCTGAAACAAAATTAAGGAAAGAAAGGTAATCTATTGTTTATTTGCCTCTGATCCAGCTGTTTCTAAGTCAGCTATCCAATGCTAACTTATCAAGTCTTTACTCATCAGAAGATCACCCTCTAAATTCTATGTAAACTAATGTTCACAAATGTTTTGAACTACTAAATTTTTACAAGAGAAAGTTGTACTTTTCAATATTCTAGCATCCTGTTTCAGCTGTTAACAAACATTTCCTATGGGTCATTTTGCAGAGACGTGATAGCAGCTAGTTGAAAGAAAGGTCAAAACCGATCACAGCACCGTAATTGTTTTACACTGGAGTAAATATGGAGTTCGAATTTAATGAAGTTATACAAATTTAAGTTGAACAGTGGTAAACTACTATTTTCTGTTACTGACTATTCATTAACAGGATGAAGTGGTTCGAATCAGTTTGGTAACAGGCAAGGGTTAGGTGTTCAGGGTAATGTCATTGTTTTACATTATGATATCGTTGCATTGCAGATGTACACTCCAAATATTCCACGTAAACTTTAAGACTACACGCTTACTTTTGCCTTTCTCTACAGACAACTGCTATGAAATACGCTTGTTGTTACTATTTATTGATATGCTTGTCATTCTCCGTTGTATTTTTGATCGAACTGTTCTACCTTTATTGGAATACGAGCTCCTATGCAGATGCCCCGCTTGTTACCGTCAATAATAACTCTTCCTTCTTTTTCCTGTTAGAATAAAATGGAACACTGCATGTAAAGAGGTGTACTCTATTTCACCAACTGCATAAGCTGATGTCTCACAGTTTGCAATTCATCGTTATCTTTTTATTTCTCACAACTTTCCTTGTTGTTCTGAAATTAATCCTGCCAAATATTACAATACCATTGAAAGATAATTATACTTCGAATACCTCCACTTAATTTCTTTAACTCTCACTGAGAATTGTAGCCTCAAACGCACACAACTGGTGTGAGTAAACCGTTTCGACTATGTACCCCTTGAAATCTAATGGTTATGATGAGTAAACCTTCCCACACATTATCTACCTTCGACTGGCTTTACTTTCAGATCTATCTCAGTCTTCTCAAAACTTGTTGTTTATACAGTAATATTTCCAATTAACCTACTGATTGGAGACACTGTATGACTGATCTAATGATTTATTATTTCATGTATTTTACTCATTCTTCATTATTCTACATCATTGCCACCGAGATGTTTTATTAAAAGACCATACTTTGTGGCCTTCAAAAGCTTCAATCAATAGTCAACTCAGTGGAGTTTTGTTGACAGTCTTCCTCCAGTCTATCTTCTTGAAGGATAAGAATCCAGCTCAAAGTAGAATACTAACAAGAGTCATAAAAAGTTTCATTTCCATAGTTATTGGTATGCTACTTTTGAAGGATATGAATAGTTACAGTAGACATCATTTATCAAAATCTTAACAAAAAGTGAAGAGATATGGTTGCAAATTTAGATATTCACGTTTTTTATTCTACGGAGTAAATTGATGAGTATTTATTGAAATGTTACCTCTTTTAATAGATTGATGGTTATTGTAACATTTCGTTTGTGATCATCAGTGAAGTCAATGAAATCCACTTCGTCCTCTCTATAACCCGTCAGCTGAGTGTAATTGTATACTAGTGTTTTAGTCTTTTCATGAAAACTATTAAGCAGAACCGATTGACTTAAAAGTATTTAATAACTTACTCTGTAATTATTCTTCATTTCATTTAAAATATTTCAGAGAGTGGAAAAGTGTCTTGATAAAACTTGCTTACATTTTCAAAACTGTATCCAAAGTTAACGCATTGAATAAAATATTTGAACAATAACAGCACCATTAGTGCCATCTTAAACGATATTTTTTCAAAATATGCCATTTCGATACACCCAAATAAGAGCTGTTTTTTTTCAAGGATGACTTATCCTCCTCGTATGTTGTTCACGTACGACTAACAAACAAACAAACAAAGATTATTGAACAGATTATCATTCCTTTCTCCCATGTCTTCTACTAATTGTTACTATGAAAACCAGAAATTCACCAACGATAAATTAATGAAATTATTGCATATATCAATGAAATGTTTGTGAATTGTGGAGTGGATTAATGTATTATAAATTAATTTTCAATGACAAGTTTACACAGTGATAAATACTTTATTTTGGTGTTAAAAATTCTTGTCATTATGTAAGCTTGTCATTTAAATTTATTTATAATACACGAAATCATTCTTGTCGATGAAACATGATATCAGGCTTCAGAGTGAAACTCTCCAGCTTTGTCTTTCTTCTACATTTCTACATGAAGATAATTTCCAGTTTAGAATTTGTGATATTCAGAAATTTTATGCTGTACACAATTCAGTTGAAGAAGATCTATGAGAAATACTAAACTCATTAAATTTTTAGTAGTTTCTTCCGAGTGGGTTTCTCGAAGGATTTGTGTTCTAACATAGAAAAGGTTAATAATGATGCCTAACAGGATTGTCTTTGCAGTCTATAAAATCATCTGTAATGAATTTGGCAAGACTTAAGCGCATTCTTTTATCAGGTTCAAGAGAATTTATTAGTCATACTGAAAGTTGATGATGATTTCAGAAGATTTAAACTACTACAACTGGTTGGTGTTGGTGGTTGAGTCAAAAATATCTATTATATATACAATGGATAAGTGAATGGTGTAGAGAATAGAGTGAGGCCGGCGATCAATAATGAAACAATTTGTTTTTCTACAATAAATGAAAACGAAATCACTTTTTACGCCAGAACAATAGAAACGTGAACAGATTCATGTCAGGCTGAGAACTAAAATAAATAAATTGTAGAAAGTAAGGGTAAATGATAATTTGAATTAACACGTATTCTTGCTAAATTTGGAACAGACAAAGCCTTTAAACAAAACATCTTCAAGAGGGAGATCTGAACATATGAATGCAGTAGATGAATTTAAATGACAGTTAAGTAAACACTAGTAGTTAGTTTTTATAACTGAATCTGAGTACCAACTTGTTTTACTTTACTAGTGATTTAGTAATTAAGGATAGAGCAGTAAGCAAACAGAAAGTTAATTATTTGTGGGAGACAACAAAACCCAATGAAAACTGATGAATATTAGGTAAACAAAAATGCAAAACGGTCTTGTCACTTATAAATTCCTATCAAACTTACAAAAAACACCAAAAGGTGAATCAAAATAAACATTTGATTGTGGCACTTTATAAGTAATTTATACACGGTTCAAAAGAATACCTCTTACCATAAAAGAGCAACGATATGTCCCGGTTCTTTCTGAACAAATAGATCTGGTTTAATTTTGCAGGTGACAATAGTCTAAGCTTTATGAAAGACTTAATAAACTAGCAGCATGTTCATAAAATCAAAAGATTTTCATGGAAGTTTCCCTGTGTATGCGACAGCTTCTTCAGAAGAGTATTCTGTACGCTGTGGGATTATAGTGAAAATTTCTATCATAATTATCAAGTTAAAGTAGGCACTTAAATCCTTCGAGGATATTCATGGTCATTACGTTCTAAGTATTTATAATAGACCAAGCTGTCTGTAGAAGACAAATATTCACCTCCTGCAGTAGATGCGCAGGTATTCCGTGAAGTACTGATGGGGTGTATTTAATTTTAACAGCGTGACTAATAACGATCAGATTTAGCTCCATGGAGTTAAATTTATTTTAGAAAACTAACAAGAATTTCACTTAGGTGACATTCTTGAAATTCATATAACTACTAAATATGCACATATTTATGTAGTATGTAATATTTAACGGGTGTCTGATGAAACTTTCACAAAATGAGTACTCTCTCAAGCAATCGTCTTCACTATAATGCAATGGGTATATTTCGTTCACTGAATGAAACCAATTTGTAGACCTCATTTAAAAAGGAAATGAACGAAAAATGAGCAGATTAAACCTAAAATAACGAATAAATAACGGATTCGGTTACCATACTCATTCTCCATTGTAAATCGCATATTAGGGTGTACTGCGTCCAATATATACGGTACATGAAAAGAACTTTCAGGACTGTCATGTATAAGAAATGTGTTGCCAACGCACATGGCTAAAACTTTTATCTAATTCAGAGTATGATTCATTTTCACCTCGTACACTTCTGGTGAGAATGTTAGTGAAGAACTGATTGAGTAGGTAAATAAACCATATGAAACTGAAGAAGTTGGCAGTGTAAAATGTTACTGAACCCAATTGATGTGATTTTATAAAAGTTATGTAGAACTATTTGCATGGATCTTATGATGACTGGAATAGATCAGGATATTGACACACATTCTGTGATTTACTTCAGTGAGACCATTCTATATGGTGGGAGTTCATCAAGAAGTCGATAAACAGTCTACAGTTTCTTTCACCACATTTTTATAAGTGAAAAATCATTCATCTCCAAGTAATTGCTTTTCCTGCACAAAATGGATTCACCCTTCAAACGGCAGAAATACAACTGACTGCTTCATCAACTACAAAGACCGTCTTTGAAATGAAAATGATCTAATTGGATAATTAAGGTATACAAATACACCATTCGAGAAATACAGTATAAACGACTTTTCTTTCTTTATTTGTAGATTAAGTTTCCTATAAGGAACCCTTTTAAGCATCTTACAACGCACGTTTCGTTGTCTTACTCATCATCCTTCATTGAACGACCAGCTAGGAACTTCGGTTTATTATGCGATATTAATGCAACCTCCTCTGTTCAATATAACTGCACAAACCATTTGGTAGGTTGGGGAGTAACGATGGTTTATGCTTCCTTCATAACTGTCAGGACTTGACAACAACTAGAATAATCTAATTTGATTTGATTTTTGACACAGCTAACAAATGCCTTATACCACCACTTTTACAAACGAAACTGTTTTCAAAAACACTAAGCGTCATAGAAAAGCCTTAAAAATATTTCCAGGATATCAATCTTCTAAAAGGAAACGTTTATATTATGCTAACAGAGAATCATACTTATTTGACAAAAATGAAGTCGATTTTGTAAATACCCCGGAGATTTATAATTTACAAGTTCATCAGAATATGATGGATTCCATAGGGAAGTGAATTATGAAGTTCATGGAGAGTGTAAGACTATTTGGACCCTGGAGTAACTTTCATACCGTATGTGTATGGTATGACAAATGGACAGAAACAGAATTTTCATTAGTTGATCTCATTAAAAAGTCGCTTTTTGTCTAGCAGGCAGTTTGAAGCCTATGTGCCATAACTTAGCCAACCAAACCATAGAACGCATTCATTTCTATTTTTGGAACAACCAAATCAGCTGAGCCTTCCTATAAAGCTTATCCTGTCGTCCTATGGTACTCCTTAATTTTTAAAGTCTCTCCGTTAAAATACCTAACATTTTATGACAGAACTCTGGTATACTTCCTCTGGTAATATTTGAATTTGAATAACACTCACTTATTTGCATTAATGATGTTCAATTTTGGTTTGACAACACTCAGTATTGTTTAACTTACGTGGTAGCCATCAACAGACTTTGAAGTCTTCTATTGTATTGGCATATAAATCCCCAGCACTTCTTGAACTTGCAAATCTGAAACCTGCCAAGATAGATGTAAGATCTTACGCCTTACATGCAGATGACAAATGTGTAGTAACGTCAGTTTCTCCCCTCAAACATATCATTCAATTGTTGGGTATTGTACATTTTTGAGGTGTTTGTCTGCATCAGGAATGTCTGAAGACATTCGAGAGACTTTCTTCAAGCCTTGTACACTTCTCACTTCTTTTGGTTTTCGGTTTGCCAATCAAAGTGCTCTTGAAATACATTATTCGTAAACGTTCGTGTTTTGATCTATTCAATACGCGTCGCTGTCGATTTAATTAATAACAAAGAGTACTGAACCCAAAGTATACACTAACTGAATGCATTCTCTCACTTCGCGGATCTATTAAAACCCGACAGTTGCACCAAAGGAGTAAAAATGGATATCCACAAAGACCAATTGATAAGTATATTGGGAGTAATTGAAGTAAGTCAGTAAAAATGCGACTCAGTTAAAAGTCTGTCTTTACTAACTCCGATTTTGAAGTTGCTGATACTGCAAAATTGCCAAGTTAAAGACTGCAAACCAAAGCGATCTGAAAACATTCAGCATTGGAGCTTTTCCTCGAATGTCAACAAGCTTTTTCGTTGCTGAAGTCAAAAACCGACAGTTATCAATCTTATTTCAACTTAAATTCCCTGTAAAATCCTACAGTAATTTTCCGGTGAAAATACGCAGGACAAACGGAAATAAGAGTGTGCTTTGGATATTTTGAGGATGTTTCAAAAACCGTATTACTAATGGGATCAGACAATAATCAGAGCGATGGCTAGGCACCTGATAAGTGACCGACTAGCAGCGTGTTCTTGTACAGCGGCAAATAATTCCCCTAAATAAGCATCCTAGGAGCCCTAGAGATTCCACACTGGTGTTGACCTTCTTACTTTTAACGGACTTTCTAAGTTGAAGGTAAACTGTCAGGCATTCAGATCACTTGACATGTCATGTTACGTTGCATTGCTTATACGCGATTCCTTAGCCAGTCACTCGTGACGTACGGGAACTTTGATTTAATTTATGAAATATGCCACTGACAACCTCGACGACCTGCTTTAATTTCGGGCTACTAAAGCATTTCATTGAATATAT